CTTGCCGGCCATCTCGCGGTACAGGGCCATCTGCCACCGCATGGAGGAGTTGTTCTCGCACTGGGGACACAGGGGACACGGTGACCACGGGGACGTGGTGGGGCACGTGGGGACCACGGGGCTACAGGCACCATGATGACCATGGGGACATGGTGGGGCACGTGGGGACCACGGGGCCACAGGCACCGTGATGACCACGGGGATGGGGTGGGGCACGTGGGGACCACGGGGCTACAGGCACCATGATGACCATGGGGACGTGGTGGGGCACGTGGGGACCACGGGGCTACAGGCACCATGATGACCACGGGGATGTGGTGGGGCACGTGGGGACCACGGGGCCACAGGCACCATGATGACCATGGGGACGTGGTGGGGCACGTGGGGACCACGGGGCTACAGGCACCATGATGACCACGGGGATGTGGTGGGGCACGTGGGGACCACGGGGCTACAGGCACCATGATGACCACGGGGACGTGGTGGGGCACGTGGGGACCACGGGGCCACAGGCACCATGATGACCACGGGGATGTGGTGGGGCACGTGGGGACCACGGGGCTACAGGCACCATGATGACCATGGGGACATGGTGGGGCACGTGGGGACCACGGGGCTACAGGCACCATGATGACCATGGGGACGTGGTGGGGCACGTGGGGACCACGGGGCTACAGGCACCATGATGACCATGGGGACGTGGTGGGGCACGTGGGGACCACGGGGCCACAGGCACCATGATGACCACGGGGATGTGGTGGGGCGCGTGGGGACCACGGGGCCACAGGCACCATGATGACCACGGGGACGTGGTGGGGCACGTGGGGACCACGGGGCCACAGGCACCGTGATGACCACGGGGATGGGGTGGGGCACGTGGGGACCACGGGGCTACAGGCACCATGATGACCATGGGGACGTGGTGGGGCACGTGGGGACCACGGGGCCACAGGCACCATGATGACCATGGGGACGTGGTGGGGCACGTGGGGACCACGGGGCCACAGGCACCATGATGACCATGGGGACGTGGTGGGGCACGTGGGGACCACGGGGCTACAGGCACCATGATGACCACGGGGATGTGGTGGGGCACGTGGGGACCACGGGGCTACAGGCACCATGATGACCACGGGGATGTGGTGGGGCGCGTGGGGACCACGGGGCCACAGGCACCATGATGACCACGGGGACGTGGTGGGGCACGTGGGGACCACGGGGCTACAGGCACCATGATGACCACGGGGATGTGGTGGGGCACGTGGGGACCACGGGGCCACAGGCACCGTGATGACCACGGGGATGGGGTGGGGCACGTGGGGACCACGGGGCCACAGGCACCGTGATGACCACGGGGATGGGGTGGGGCACGTGGGGACCACGGGGCCACAGGCACCGTGATGACCACGGGGATGGGGTGGGGCACGTGGGGACCACGGGGCTACAGGCACCATGATGACCATCGGGACATGGGTACCACAGGGGCCACGGAGACACGGTGGGGCACATGGGGACCGTGGGGATAACAGGCACCACGAGGACATGGGGACCACGGGGATGTGGGGGGGACATGGTGGGGACAGGCCACCTCACCTTGCCCTGCAGGTGCAGGTTGTTGTTGAGGTACTCCCGCACCTCCTCGTCCGTGTCCTTCTGCAGGGGGGGGACACACACGCAGGACAGGGCCACGTCAGGGGCTGTCCCCACCCCGGGGGCTGTCCCCAGTCCCAGGGGCTGTCCCCAACCCCACCGGCGTCCCCCCCCCCACCCACCAGGGCGTAGCGGCCCTTGGCCATGTTGATGAGTTCCTGGTCGGTGGGTGAGCACATGTTGAGGCCGATGGGCAGCATCTTCTTCAGGGTGGCGACGATGAGGGAGGTGTGGATGGAGTACCGGTCCCCTCGGCGCTTCTTCTTCGTCCGCTCCTGCTCCGAGCCACACCCCTGCGGGGACAGGGACGGGGGCGTCAGGGCCACCCCCCCTGGCCAGGGGTATGGGGGTGTCGGGGACAGGACCCCGCTGTCACAGGGACGGGGACATCAGTGGCAGGACCACACACCCCCCCCCCACGCCGTAAGGATGAGGGACATCAGCACCAGGACCCCCGTGCCGCAGGGACGGGGACATCAGTGTTGGGACCCCCGTGCCACAGGGATGGGGACATCAGTGTCCCCCATAAGGACGGAGACATCAGTGTTGGGACCCCCCCCGTGCCACAGGGACGGGGGACATCAGCACCAGGACCCCTGTGCCATGGGGCCACCTCAGGGCCAGGGCCCCTTGTACGACAGGGACTGGGGACATCAGGGACTGGGGACATCAGGGCCAGGACCCCAGTGCCACACAGCTCCAGAGGTCCCAGATGTGGGCCTGGGGGGCAGGACCCCAGGATGCCCTTGGGGGGGGTCCCAGCCGTGGTGGCCCCACAGAGCAGGACCCGGGAGGTGTCCCCCGTGCCACAGGGACGGGGGACATCAGCACCAGGACCCCTGTGCCACGGGGCCACCTCAGGGCCAGGGCCCCTTGTACCACAGGGACTGGGGACATCAGGGACTGGGGACATCAGGGCCAGGACCCCAGTGCCACACAGCTCCAGAGGTCCCAGATGTGGGCCTGGGGGGCAGGACCCCAGGATGCCCTTGCTTCCAGCCATGGTGGCCCGTGGCCC